CGCGTGCGGGCGCGTGCGGGCGCGTGCGGGCGCGTGCGGGCGCGTGCAGCCGCGGCGATTTTGGTAGTCTTCAGTGGAACTTAACCAACTCCAGACTGTCTGCTGCATCATCTCCTGCCGACCATCTGCTGGATATTCACCTGTCCGGGTGCTTCGCTGATCCTGCCTGACCCCCATAGTCGAGCCTGGCCCACGCCGCAGGCACGCAAACAGCTGTGGCGTCTCTGGTCCTAGGAGGCGTGGTTCAAACTCCAAAAATCTGAAACAGCTGATCTGTGCTCCGTGCTCAACTTTTCCTTCAGCTACTGGTCCTACAAAGATTGCTCTGCTGAATGTGAGGTCGCTCGCAAATAAAACCTTCATCTTAAATGACTTTTTCTGCTCCAATGGATTGGACTTCATGTTTGTTACAGAGACCTGGCTCGTCCCTGGTGAGTTAAGTGTTTTTTTGAACTTTTGCTGGTGGATTGTGCCTTTTTTAATGCTCCAAGGACTTCTGGTAGGGGTGGTGGATTATTAACAGTTTTTAAAAAGCTCTGGAACTGCAGACAGCTACAGGCTGTAGCTTTTCAGAGTTTTGAACTGCTGTACTTTGAGCTGGGATGCTCCAACCCGATGCTGTGCAGCGTGATCTACAGGCCACCCTCGTACAACAAAAACTTCATAAGTGAGCAGAAAGAAAGAGCAGAAAGACCTGCTCTGACTTTCTGTGTGGAATGCTGCTCAATTACGACAGGGTTTTGATTCTGGGAGACTTTAATGTACGTGTTTGCTGTTCTGGCAAGCCTTTGGTGCAGGAGTTTTTAAGGTCCTATTTACACAGACACAATGGTGGGAAACGTAGGTTTTTTCATATGTTAATTAGAGGAAAAGATATGCGTCGACACTGTCGCATTTTGGGTTTACATCCATCTGGAGGATCCCCCCCCCCCCCCTCCCGAATCCGCTGTAGTTACCATGCCGGGTCATTAGATGGCGCTGTGAATTTTGTACCTTCACCTAACGCGCATGCGTGCTGCCTCGGCACGCTGTTTTCCTCTGGGCTAACCAGCTAACAACAACGTAACAAGTTAAAGCTGGATTCTGACTGGATTTTGGATAAGAGTCGACAGATTTGACGCCAAGCGGGACCGCTTCATCTAATAGCTCCACATCGTTCTCTGAATGGTCCAGAACCGAGTCGACGATGTCGGACTTTACTCCGTGATAATCAGTAGCTGTTTTACAGCAGGTAAATCATCGTTCTTAATAATGTTAGCTTGTGTTTACAAAACAACCAACTGAGTTTTTATTTTTTCCTGAAAGAAGAAGAAGCTGTCCTGGAATCTGACATAGATTAACTATGAGATTAAAATACATTCCATCAGTCGAGGTTCTGAAAGCAGTGTGTCCGCCGCCATGTTGATAGAAATATAGCGTCGGACCGCGTGTGCGCATGTGGTTTAACACAAAGCCTAAGTGGGAGATGTTTACATTATCAGCGGGGGGGTCAGCGAAAAACCTCCACTCTGGAAGGCGGAATCAGAAACCTCCAGATTCAAAGAGGGGGGCCACTGGTGTCATGTAAATGATCAGCAGAACTGCAGAGAGAAAAGTGCGGAAGCACTCAAAATACGCGCCGTGTAAATGGCCTCTAAATCTGATACAATCTTTCAACCTTGTGAAAAATGTTGTTGGTCCACTTCATCAACAGGGCCATACACTTGATTTAGTTCTGTCTCACGGTTAATCTGTAATTAATCAGGAAATTGGGGATGCTATTGTTTCGGATCACAAACCCATTTCATTCGAAACCTCTGTTATTCATGAGTCTAAATCTCCCGCTTCAGCCAAGAGTTGTCAGATATTTAACTCTTCAACCGCTGCTTTTTTCCTCTGCATTCATTATTAATGCTGCCTCAGTCCCCGAAACCTCTGCCTGTATTAATACACAGGAGCTGCTCAGTAGGCATGATGCGACCTGCTCTAAGATTTTAGACCTCGTGGCCCTGCTAAAAATCAGGCGACCAAAGTGGGCACCACACCCCTGGTTGAACGGGACCACTCGAGCAGCCAAACGTCTATGCAGGAGAGCTGAACGCAAGTGGAAAAAGGACAAATTACAGGTTTCTTTTATTATGGTAAAAACGTGTCTGAAAGACTATCAGAACATCGTTAAATCTGAAAAGAACAAATACTTCACCCAAATCATTGCTTCAAACAGTCATAATCCCCGCGTTTTTTTTTTTTTAATACCGTAAATTCCATTTTAAACGTGCCTCGGTCTGCCAGCATGGAGGCCTCTGTTGACATCTGCAACGACTTTACCAGATACTTCGCTGATAAGGTAGAGTTGATTAGGTCATCCATCCCCCAGTCCACAACTGATCCCTCTGTCTTTGTCCCTTACTCAGCTGTCTTCAAACAGTTTGAACCCATTTCACTCCCATTTCTAAACAAAGTCGTTGGTCAGATGAAAACCTCCGGTTCCCCTGCTGACCCCATTCCTGCGTCGTTTTTCAAACAAGTTCTACCCACAATTGGGCCCTCTGTTCTTACTATTATAGATAGTAGTATCGTGACAAGTGTGGTTCCCAATGTTTTCAAACATGCAGTAGTTCATCCGTTAATTAAGAAACCTGGACTTGACCCTTCGACTTGCTCAAATGTCAGACCAATCTCAAAACTTCCCTTCCTGTCCAAAATCTTGGAGAAAATAGTTTTCATTCAATTAAACAAGTTTTTGAATGAGAACAGAATCTTTGAGATTTTTCAATCTGGTTTTAAGCAACTCCAAAGCACTGAAACAGCATTAGTAAGGGTTTGTAACGATATTATATCAAACGATTCTGGTCAATTTGTGGTACTTGTGCTCCTGGACCTTACTGCTACTTTTGATACTGTTGACCTCAGTATCCTTATATCACGGCTGGAACAGTGGGTTGGGATCACAGGAGCTGCATTAGAATGGTTCTGCTCATACCCGAGTGGCAGGAGTTTTTGTGTCAAGGTTGATAATAATGTATCCACCTCATTACCTCTTTTTTGCGGGGCCCCAGAGGGTTCCATTCTTGGACCCCTTCTGTTCTCACTTTATTTGCTCCCACTGGGGTCCATCCTGAGAAAACACGGTCTTTCATTCCATTGCTATGCTGATGACTGCCAGATCTACCTGCCTGTGAAACCAGCAAGTGTTTGTTCCATTCACCCACTGTTAGAATGTCTGGATGACATTAAGGCCTGGATGGCTTCAAATTTCTTAAGTTTTAACAATGAGAAGACTGAAGTCATTGTCTTTAGCCCTAGCTCAACTGCTGCCACTGATCCTGTCAACCTGGACTCTCTTCAGCCATATCTTAAGCAGTCTGGTAAAAATCTTGGGATGGTTTTAGACTCTGACTT